GCTGTGCGCGCTGCTCGTGTTCTTCTCCGACGGCGCCACGGACCTGTGGCTGGCGGCCTCCTACTACCTGCAGGGCCAGCACACCTACTTCGGCCTCACGCTGCTCTTCGTGCTCCTGCCCTCGCTGGTCGTGCAGCTGCTCAGCTTCCGCTGGTTCGTCTACGACTACACGGAGCCAGCGGGGGCCCCGGCGTCGGCCGTCAGCACCAAGGACAGCAGCGCCGGCGGGCCTGCCGTCAGCACCAAGGACAGCGCCGTCGCCTTCCGGACCAAAGAAGGCAGCCCCGAGTTGGGGCCCCGGCCCGCGCCCGCCTCGGCCAGCGCCTACCGCCGCCGCTGCTGCCGCCTCTGCGTCTGGCTGCTGCAGACCCTCGTCCACCTCCTGCAGCTCGGCCAGGTCTGGAGGTAGGAGAGACGCAGGTGGAAGTAGCAGAGTCCGAGGCCTGGAGGTGTCCCAGGGTTGCCTGCCTCCCCAGCCCGGCTTCTAAATTTCTCCAGGACCCCTCCTGCCCTCGCCTCCGCCACGCCCCATCCCTTTGCAACTCTGATTTCTTCCCTTCCATCTCCTCCTTGACCTCTGCCCTCAAGCCCTGACCAACCCCAATGACATCCTTTCTATCTGACCCCTGAGGGGTGAGAGCTTGAGGGGGGAAGGGTGATGGGGGTAAGCAGGGAGAAAGGAGGAAGTAATCTTTAGCTGTGTGTGAGTGAAAAGGGCTTAGAGCTGATGGGGTGATCTGGAGGCTTGAAGCAGGGCCCCAGGACTCCCTCCAGAATCCTCTCCTCTCTTCTTGACTGTTGTTCTCCAGCTTAGAAAAGACCTTAGAAGTCCTTCTCTGCTCTCAAAGATTCTCAGTTCTGAATCACACCCCGTTTCCAGCCTCCCAGGAGAGACATAAAATGTGGCAGCTAAATGAGTATCTAACTCAAACTTCTAGGACTTTTTGGGAAAGGGTATGCTCAATCCACTTAGGAAGTTTTCTGGTCCCTTCTGCTTCCTAGGTCACCCCAGCACTGGCTCCCATCCCCCAGGGGGCCAAAGTGACTTGGGATCTTGAGTGTGAGGCTAGACAGCCACTATTGTTGCTATGTGCTGTGGAGTCAGGACCCCTTCATAGCTAACCTTTCAGTTTTCAGAGGCCGTTAAATGGCATGGGAGGAGATTGCCCACCTCTCTCTCCTGCCTTTGGGTGTAGCACACCTCCTTCCCATCATGCCACTAGCTGCCCCCACTAGCCGCCCTTTTATCCTGGGACATCAAGGCAAAGCTGAAGCTTCATTCAAGCTGGCCACGTCCCAGCTCCTCTGCCTGCTGTGCTGAGTTATTCTGGAGAGAGGGAGACCTCTAGACCTAGGACTCCTCTTGATTCAGAACCTCCCTAATAGCTCGAGGGCTACTGTGCGGAAATTTCACTGACGGGAAATTTCATGACAGGACGAACTTGCTTACTGTGTGATCTGGAGAAAATCACCTTCTCACTCCACATTCAGTTCTCCTTCCTGGGAAGTGGAGAAGTCTGTATTCGTATCATCTCACTGGTCTACCATCTCATTTTTTCTTACCTGTCAGAAGGGTCAGGTGAGAGAGGGTCTGCGTGAGGGCCCTGCAGAATGTAACATATTTTAAGAATGAAATAAATTGTCATGGTTATAGCAGATGTGTGAAAGCTCGGGGAAAGTCACTCCTAGAGATGCAAAGGATGATTATTGCTGTTGTTATATTTATTCTGCTACTTGTTAATGCATTCTGACTAGCTCAGAAGATTCAGTTCTGTGTTGAGGGCTGGGAAGAGGACCCCTAGGGTTTGTCCCAGCTGTTCACTTGCTGTGTCACCCTTGCTGTGTTGCTGAATCTTTCTCTGCCTTGGTTTCTCCCTCGATGCTTGCCAAGATGGTATGTGTTCCATTTAGCTTGCCCTGGGGGGAAATGGGGAAGTGGAACTTTTTCCACGCAAGGTGTTGTTAGTATTATTAGCTTGACACATAAAAATATTCATGTCTACATCCAGGAACTAATCTGCATTTATTATCCTGTGCCCGAGTGGACAGATGGCGAAGGATATTTTTAGAGTCTGAAATGGTAACTTCCTATTCTTGGTCGCCAAAGCGTCATCCCCCTTTTCTCTTCTGCCTAAAAGTGAGCCGGGCTGCCCTCCGACTTCTAGGCTAACTCAAGTCCCGTTTCTTTCCCTTGTTCACTTACAAGAAACTGCTGTTCTGCTTTCTTAAACTTGAACTGAGTTTCTCTCCAAGAGAGAAAATAATGACTGTGGAGTGGAAGGTCTCGGGGGAGTGGCTGGAGGTGGGCCCACTGAACTGTAAGGTTTTTCTTGTGTTAAAAGAGACAAGATTGTCTCTATTTCGCTTTCTCTGTGTACACGGGGGAATTGCAAAGGAGGAGGTGATTTTGCAAGGATAACAAACTGGTGGCTTTTGGATTGATTTTCATCTACAGAGTGGTTTGTTTGGCTTGCATAATACTTTAAAGAACCAGAGTCATAGATTCTTTGGTGGGAACATGAATCTATCTAGCAGTATCAGTCTGTAACTATTTAGATAGGGTCTATATGACCCAGTTTACTCAGTTCTTACCTAGCCCACTGATCACCTCTGGCCCATTTTACTTAGGCATTTAAGTTTCAGATCCTTAATTTATAATTCCATAGCCATTATTTTGTTAAGCACTCCGAATTCACCAAGCCTAGCAGTTGCCTTTTTACCTGCTTTCTCTCCTGTCTCCCTCCTAATAATCCTTAGGATGAGGTTGATGTTGTAATTCTGTTTAACGGATGAGGGAATGAGGCTCTCGGAGAGGAGGCATCCTTGCCAAGGTCACACATCTAGGGAGTGGAGGAGCTGGCACTCAAGGCTGCCATCCAAGCCCAAGTACAATTTATCCGCTCTGCAGTCCTGCCACTAAAGTGTCCCCCAAGCTTGAAGAATTATGAGTCTGAGATCCCAAGATTTCCAGATGATAGAAAGCCAGGGCTTCTGCTACACTGAGATAAGAAAGTGAAAAGAGGGGGAAGGAGTTGAACCGTGTTCCTGAGTGAGACTGGGTAGACAGTGGCGACTGTGGGCAAATTGCTGTATTGGGAATGGAGGAGGAAGGGTCAGGAGACCTACATCTACATCCTGGTTTGTAACTAGCTTGCTAGGTGACCTTGAGCAAGGCTCTCCCCTTCTCTGAGCCTCAGTTTCCCTGTGTGTGAAATGAGACAGTTAGACTTAAGGACCTTAAGAGCTTTTTAAAAGAAATTCTACCTCTGAGTCTAGTCACCAGAGTTAAAGCCTTCTGGACCCCTGTCTCGTAAGTCATTGGTTTTGGATTCTAAACATGGCTGAGAATTTGGTTACATGGGGCAGGGTTGGAGGGGTGGAATGCAGAGGTAATATAGAGAAGCTGAGGGAGCTGGGATTCCTAGAAATTAAGCAGTGTTGGCACAACATGTTTGCTTCCCCTGTGGGATGTTCTCACATTGAACAGGTTCACTGTGGAACAGGATTTGATGCAGATGTTGTGAGTGGTAGGGCCCAGGGTGATATAGAGATGTGTCTTCAAGCCCTAGAGAGCCAGAGCTGGGAGGCTGGCCAGTCAGTCACCTCTGACCTCTGTCCCTAATTGTTGTTGTTGTTTGTTGTTATGTACTGTCAAATCACCTGCAACTCATAGCTACCCTGTGTACAACAGCCCTGAACCCTGCGCTATCCTGCACCAATCTTATTGTCTCTGACACACCTACCTCCATTATCCCAGTCACTGAATCAATCCATCTCATTGAGGGGTTTCCTCTCTTGCACTGTCCCTCCACCCTCCCAAGCATGACATCATTCCCTGATTAGTGATTTTAATCATCAGGATCTCTTACAGCCCCTCAGACTCACACAGTGATAAATCAGAATGTTGAAATACCTTGAGAAGCCAGGAAGGTAATACAGACCATAAGGTGCATGGGATATCAAGCAGAATGACTTTATGGGGACAGCAGTACCCTAAAGAAGAGACATCTATTACCCACCTCAAGACGAAGGTGCCATGAAAATCCTGTCACAGGGTTAGAGTTAGGGTTAGGCTTTTCAAGAGAAATGGGAACTCTGAACTTATGTGTGGATTATCCTAATTTTAAATTATGAAGAGTTTTTTTCCAGTGGTGCCAACTACTAACTCAGTTCAACTCAATTCTCCCCTTGAGTTGAAACTGACTCTCAGCTGACCCGCCAGAGGCTGTAAACTACATGGGAAGAGAGGGCTCATCTTTCTCCTGTGGAGCCACTGCTAGATTTGAGCCATGAGCCACCAGAGAGGCACCACTTGTGGGTTAGCAGCTCAGCTCCCTACGGAGTAGGACACCAGATCATCCTCTTTGAAATCTCTAGTCTAACTCTTCACAGTTGATATGGTCATTTATTTCTCACTGAGGCTTGTTCTATTGCCAAACAATCCTATGAGTGTTGTCCTTAGGATTTTAAATGCAAAATGGACCTCTGAGGATGGAGAGGAAGGAAGGGATACAAGGCCACTCCATATCACTAAGTCCTAGCAGGATCCATGCCAGGTGTTCTAGGCAACTGATCTTGTGTTACCTTGAAGTCATCCCTGTGGTGGCTACTGATATACCCATTCATCAGATTAGGACAGTCAGTCACCTGTCCAAAGTCATCCATTGAGGAAGTCAGGGAAAGGAAAGATTTCGTCATAGCTTTGTTCAGCTCCTAAACCCAAGTTTGATGTTAGGTTGTGCTGAGAGAAGTCCAGGATAATACCCCCATACATAGACAGATTGGATCCCTGGGAGGAGAGCAGACGGATCCTTCAGTGGGGCGTGAAGCTGTCTGTGGGCTGGTTTCCCACCTACGCCTTCACACCCCTAGCCCTTGAGCTGTTAAACCACTCAGTGCTGTTAAGCCAATTAAAGTCCTAGCTCTCTCTCCTCTGACCCTGTGAGCAGCAGAGCTCTAAAACCATGAATCCTGCTTTCCATAATCTTGAACTCAGTGGGCCACAGCTTGGCCAGGATAAACATGGTTTGCTAAGTCAATTAGTAGGAGGTGACTGATCTAGCATGGGATCCCTCCTTGGCTGTCAGGAATTGGGGATCCCTGCAAGGGGAGGGAGATAGGCAAATTTAGCTTTAAGGGAAATCCTTTCCACATAGACTGCTCTTTCTGCTTCCCAGAAAGCCCTGCACTTCAGGAGAAATGGGTTAGTGACCACTTGCTATGAAATTCAGGATATTCCCTCTGGATAGTCTTGGCATGATAATTAAGATCATGAATTCTGTATTCAGATGACCTCAGTTTAAATCTTGACCCTACCACTTCCTATATGTGACCCTGAAAAGCCACATAATCTATTTATGTTTCCATTTCCTCCCTAAACTAGAGATCACAATGATACCCACCTC